ATATACACGAATATGCGGTACTTTATTTAAAATTGCACTTTAGGGTTTAAAAATTCAGGGGCTCTGCAATGATGTCATTACCAGATAAGGTAACTCATAAAGTAAAATAAAATATTATTTGTATAACTTATCTGCAAGGCCGTGCTCTCATATGCATAAATGTTGACAACTTTATTTTATAATAAATAATTTCACTGTTTTAATAAAAGTGTTGAACTGACATAGCAAACCAATAAACATAAATATATATGTGTCAACAGACAATATGCGTATAACTGTAAAAATTAAAGTGCAGTACAAAAGTTGACAGTCCAATCGTGTAATTACGGTAATTACAAAAGCAAAAACTCACAATCAAAGCGATTTCACACGGTATTACATAATTTCATAAATGCATTTTGTGTTTATTTTAGTGAGTGGTGTCATATTTTCGAGTAATTTCGGTGAATTTTGCAGGTGACTAAGTCGGCGCACCGGCGCCGGTGCCTACAATGTACGCAGTAAAAGTGCACGAAAACTTGTTTGCTTGTTTTACAAAAGTCTCTTTTCGCACAGACACCAAATGTGGCACACGAGGCGCGTCATTATTTCTATTTTACAGTTATGAACGTGCGGTGGCTGGCGTAATGTATTGCCTTAATTTGTGTGATATTGTGTTTGAAAGCGACCGAGTGCGGGCGTTGTGTCGAAAGTGTATAACAACACAAGGAAACAACAACAAAAGCGCACGACTTGCACTTCAAACGAAATGGAAAACCACATTCGAGACACACACAAAGGAGTGCATGTGTGGGCGTAAGTACATATAGTGATTGGCATAGGCCCGTCAGTGCGTATACGTAATGTTTACGAAATTGCATTATTTTTTATGCAACGAAAAGCAACGCTCACTCGCCGCATACACACACGTTCTCCTCTGTATCAAAGTGTTGGCATTCTAATTTTAAATACTATTTATGTTTATATTTTGATTTCGTTTGTGACGCACACGTGTTGCACGCACATCGGCTTTCGTTCTGTTAGCTGATCCATCGCAAGATCGAAAAGTGAAAATATCGAGTACATGTTTATAGGCAGATGAGTAATCGATCTGATTATGTAATATTATAAGAAATTTGCAGACGTTACTTTTCAGCTTGATGCTAAAATATTTTCGGTTCTTTTTTATCAACTAGTGTTGTAAGGGGTTAAAATTTCGTCATAACATTTATTACATACCTATATAATATATATTACATGGATATCTGTAAAATTAACATAGGAAATTTTGGATTGTTTAAGGGAACTGCTCTAAACACCATTACTCACCACGAATACCAATAGCTTATTATTCAGATGTTTATTTGGTATTAAAACTTCGGTATGCAGCATATTGCTAGCTACAATGAAACAATTAAGTGTGGTGAATTTCTGTGTGGTGAGTTTTGTTGGTGCCAATTGGTATTGTAGTACTGTAAATGGGGAAAAATTAAGTAAGGAGAATAAATGTGCTAATTATGTAAATTATGTCTTGTAAGTGTGAAAGAATCATTTATGGTAAGATTTTATTGAAAATAAATCTTTAATTGTGAAACACCACCTCTACAGAGAATAATCTACAGTAATGTTTTTGGTTTCGTAAACTGCAAAATGGCCTAATTAGCATGTTATACATATGTACATGTGCAGATAGCCGTTGCGGTAGAATTAGGTGTGGTGAATTAGGTTGAAGCATGAAAAATGTGGTGTTTGTAGTTTTAGTACCGAAAAGATAACAAATTTCAAAATGGTGAATATATCTGCATGTGGTGAGTTTAATTTTCGCTCAAGTTTGCCACTGAAAAACTCCTCACTTACATAAAATTGTTTTACAATTTTATTCTTGGTTTCGAAAACTTCAGTATCACGTGGTTTTTCGAACATTTTTATGCTAAAAAAATTTCTAGGGCATTGAAGCTTAAACAATTTCAAGTTTTTGCAATAAATAAATGAACGTACAGTATTCCTTCGAACAAATAACTTTACTAAGAACTAAACTAACAAAATCGAAAATGAGTATGCATGTGTGATCTCCGATAACGCCACAAGCACTAATCTTGTACTTAGAGTTTGCGATATAAATTTCTACGAAATGCTTGCTTACACTTTTTATCGACTTACAAAACTTGAGAATAGACATTAAAACTTCTGTTGAATGCATGGACCTAGCGATTAACATAACCGAACCAGTATACAGAAGTATATAAAGAAAAGTATATGTTGCTTCTGGAGTCCAAGTAGCCCATACGCAGCACTAATAAAGGTAAGCAGTATGTGTAAACACATAAAAGCATTGCCGAGTTTATTTTTCTACAGCCAAAGGGTGCTTAAGCAGATAATTTTTTTTTTTCTATGTACCCTTATAATCACAAATAATTTTAGTCACACATGTGTTCAGTCGATGCCAGATTATTGATAAAGCACTCAACTAAAAGCTCACGCATACATATATACATATTTATACATAAATGTATTACATCCGTATATCTGTGTAGTTGTGTGCGGGTTGCCACATCGAAAAAGGGTCAAAATTGTGTTAAAAACGTAAAGTGATTTAAGTCACTTTTTTAAGTAATTCGCCAACATGCTGACACATTCTAATCTCTTGCACACTTTGGGGTAAACTGCGGATTTTCGGTCTATATACATAAACAGTATACATATACATATATGTATGTGAGGTGAGATTTTCAAACAGTTTGCAAAGGCCTCTTAATCGCTGATGAAATGTGTTGATAATAGTTGTTTACGCGCGTGTTAAGCTTCCACAAGCGCCGCAATTTATTTTTAAGCCTTTTTCGAAGTTTTGACAGTTTAATTGCGGTTTAAGTGGTGATTATGATGATGGCTACATGTTTAATGAAATATTTCTTTCTTTCTAAGTTTCGAATAATCAAGGACTGTGAGTAAGAAGTACCATTTTCGATTATCCCACTGGATTAATTTCCACTACATCAATAAAAAATATAAAAATATATCGAAATGAGTGTAGAATAAAAATACTTCAATATAATGAAAGCTCTTTTTCAAATAAAAAAAATTTTAAGCTTGAATCATCTAAAGGTATGCAGTAACTCCTAATTGAGTCAGTGGTTCACAGTGAGCACAAAAAAACTGTGCATGCTCCAGTGAAAGCAGGCCTTCATCTTGTGAAAAGTCTAGAATGGCCTAGCGGAAGATAATAATAATAAASTCAGATCTAAAAAGGAAAAATAAGCAGTAGTTTCTTGCAGACTCAGTTCTTCAGAAGAAAGGAATTCGAAAGCTTATTATGCTGTAGTGAAAGCTCTCTTTCATATATTGAAAGCTTTTTTTGATCTAATGAAAACTCTTGTATAAGCTACTGAAAAATATGTAAGAGTATCCCAAAGAGCAGATCTTCACGGAAGAAACTAAAGCTTCTAAGCTACAATGAAAACCTATTTTTTAACACTATTTAGACCAAATTCATGCTGAAAAATGAACAAATTTCTACTTAAATTGCTTTTGAAAAAATGGTTCACAATATAGCCATTCATAGAAGAAACTTACTCTTTCGTAAAAGCTCTCTATGCAGACACGTAATAGTTCCCGATAAAGGCAGACTTTTACAAAAGAAACAAGTTCAAGAGCACTTTATGGTCTAGTAAAAGCTCTCCGCTGGATTCGAAAGCTTTGAAGCTTCAATGAAGCCCCTTTTTCGAACACTATTTACACCTAACTCATGGTGAAAAATGTACATATTTCTATCTTAATTGTTTTTGAAAAAATTGCCTACAATATAGCCAGTTATGCATAAAGGAGGCGTATACGAAAGTTTATTACACCTTAAGGTGATTTTTGAAAATTCTAATAAGCTTTAACGAAAAGTACATAATATTTTGGAACAAAGTGGAACTTTTATAAAAGAAACGAGTTTGAAAGCTCTTCATGGTCTAGTGAATGCTTTCAGTTCACTTTCTTTAAAGCCAACTTCGCACTGGAAATGTTTTTCATACCTTTTTTCTTCCGGAGAAATAGCCTGAAATACTGATCTAAATACACTTTTAACTATTACTGTAAATTTTATCTTAATGAGTATATCTGAAAAGTATTTCGCTGCAGTTGATTGATAGTAACGCTTTTGCTGTTAATCTCCCTCTTTCAATGGCACTCTTATTCTTGTGTTATTTTTTGTATCAGCCTCGCTTCTCTTTTATCCCACTTCCTCTTTTTGGTCCCTTTTCTATTAGTAGCTTTTTCTTACTGCTTAAAGAAGATTGAATCTTTTCAACGCCACAGCATGGAAATTCAATCCCTTTCAGCTGAGACAATGATGACGATGAAGAAGAAGATGAAGAAAGGACGAAGTGGAGCATTGTTTTTGTTTGTAGACGCTGTGGCAATTGCCTTTGTTTCTGATTCATTTTGCGGTCAAGCGTGATTTAGGTCTCGCCTGTCATTGTTTCGAGGCAGGCGTTTAATCAGTTATTTCTTCATTTTCTTCATTTTCGAATCGAGATATGCTTTATCTGCCTCTTTCAGCACATGCCGCAAGCCTCAAGATAAATGGCTTTAATTTAAACAACAACATTAACACACTCACATTTATTAATGAACTTGAATTAAATAGCGGTAGGAGTAAATCAATGACAATGAAACGAAGTGTGTCTTCGCAGAATTCCAAAAAATTATTTCAGAAAATATTTCATAAGCTACTCTCTTTTCACTGATATTCTTTATATAACCCTCTCTTGTTAATTGAGTTTGCAATTATTGCGCTTCTGAAGCACTCTCAGGTAACACATGACATTTACATTGTTTCAAGCTCCCTCCTTCTCCTCCAGCTGTCTACCTTGCTTCCCATTTATTGTTCCTATCCTTATATCTCTTGTTCCCATGCATATTTTTTATATTCCTCATAATTTATGTATATGTGTTTGCCGAAATTGCCGAATTTTTGCGCCTTTTCTGTTCATAAATATTTCATTAACACAGCTTTTGTTCTGCTCTTTGTATTGCAGTTCGTCGGCTGGGAGGAGGTTTCACGTCCAAATACTCGCGCCGAAATCGTGCAGGCCATGCGTCGTATACGGGTAAGTAAAAGCAACAAGCAAGTCAATATGGCACACAAGCAAAAGTACATAAATATGAATTTTTAAATAATTTTCATTGTGGCTGAAACAAAAGATGACATAAAGAAGGTGTGCAACAATGGACGGTAGTGCCCCTTATAGAAGTATACATGACTGCAAGGGAGCGAAACCGTCTCGGTGTCACTTAATTTTTTCGAATTTATAGTTTTCAAATGTTGTTAATGAAAGTATGGAAAATAAGGCCTTTTTATCGAAAACCGAGCGGTTCATCAAAAAGATTTGAGTGCCTTTTAAGAGCACTACTAGTTTGACAGCCTAAAAAGGCATTGTTTGGGAGCTAAATACTTTATCAATTGTTTAAAAATTTTGCATACATATTTGAACATATTTTGAGAATGTAGTACAGTAACATTTTTGAGGAAAAAAATAAAAATTTTGCAAATTATATTTGGTCTTCCAGTGATTAGAGCCTTATCTGTACATAAGGCCAACAAATTCTCTATAGAAGAATATTGTCTGTAGAACTGCATACAGTCGAAAAAATAACGAAAATTTACAAAATGGTTGCGTTCAAAAAAGTTAAAGTTTAGGCAAAATTTTGGCCGTTTTCTGTGCTGCCTAGCCGTTAGGAAGCCGTTGCAAGGAGCAATATATACAAAATGCGCCTTCTTCTTCTTTATATTTATTGGCATAGACACCCGTTTACGCGCTCATAGCCGAGTTTAAAAGGAGGTGGATGATGTTTTCTTTTCATTGGAGGCATTTTTTACGTATTGGGTCCCAGGCTCAGCGCACATCCCTGGGGAGAGGTGGTCCGCCTTCACTTTAGCTCGTTTTAACATGGATGTTTTTTGGCTAACCAGAAGACACTTGGTCTAAGATCGGAAGTCATGAGGTGCTTGATCCATATGTAAAAGAATCGTTTCTGGCCACTCCCAAGTGAATAGCGCTTAGAAAACTTTCCATGGAGTAGATTGAAGTAACCAGCTATACTTTTAAAGGCCGTAACAAAAAAAGAAAAAAGAAAAAAAAATATTTGAATTAATTACTTAAAAATATAGTTTTTTTTTTTTTTTTTTTTTTTTTTTTTTTTTTTTTTTTTTTTTTTTACTTAAAAATATAGTTTTTTTTTTTTTTTTTTTTTTTTGTTAGAAGGTATTGACAACAGATTAATGAAAAGCAATATTGACTACCTACCATGGTAAAAACACAATTTTTTTCTTTTTATTCAACATGGTTACCTTCAAGGCTGATATACCGATTATGGCGACCCACCATCTCTTAGATACCATTTTGTCTACGATTTGTCCTTTGCTTCAAAATATGCCTCAGTTTCAGCAATCGTCATAGTAGTCAATAAAAATTATTTACATTCCGAAATGCAGGCGTCATAAACTTGCCAGCCGACTTTTGCGTTGTGACCACATTTTGAAGTGGGTTCATCTTGTGCAGTTCACTCGGATGACCGTCAATTCGACTTCGGCCATATTTCATTAATTGTCACATTTCGACTTAAGAACTCGGGTATTTTGCTCTTGAACATCTCCGAGGACTGTTCCGAATCATAATATCCACCTTGTTTTTGATTAAAAGCGAGCTCACGCGGCATCCACTTTGCTTAGAGCTTTCTCATATCCAAAAACTGCTATCTGCTATCGCCAAAAGCTTTATTTTTCGTGATCCAAAATTATGTTAGAACGTAACGACCCCTTGTGGGCGTCCACTGCGTCTTCAGTGCTCAGTTCACCATGTTTAAACTCAGCATACCAATCGTTGATTTCCCTGGTGCAGTCAGAGCTGTTAAAAAGGGATTAAAATTAATAATCAATTGAATTAATTTTTTTTTTTTAAATTAATTCGATTATTAATTTTTTTCGCAATTCGTTGATTAGTTAATGATTGAAAATAAATTTAATCATGATTAAAGGGAATCAATTTAGTTTGAAAAATTTATTTAAAGATTCAAAAAATTTCATCAAAAACTTAGTTAGATTAAAAATTTTGACTAATTTGGATTAAAGTGAATTAAATGGCAATTAACATTCCATTAATTAAAGAAAATAAATTTAAATATTTACAAATCATATGGTGAAATTATTAATACAATAAATAAATAAATAATAACAAAATATAGTCACTACAATAATTCAAGAAAAATTTAAACAAACAAATCTAAGAATAATTCAATAATTTCAACCATAAAGATAACGAATTAAATTATTTGCTTTTAACAATACTAATTTTTCAAATGAGCAATATCCATTGGCGAATATATGTTTACCACCAGTAAATAAACAACAGTAGAGTTGCTAAATATTATTTATATTGCTTACGCTCATAAAATAAAATATAATAACACACAAAATAATTTAATAAATTATTACTTTTTAAATAATGCAATATTAATTGCCATTTAATTCACTTTAATCCAAATTAATCTAAATTTTTAATCAAACTAAATTTTTGATTAAAATTTTTTAATCTGTAAAACTATTTTTAAAACTAAATTAATTCCCTTTAATCATTATTAAATTTTAATTAAATTTAATTTCAATCACGAATTAAAAAGGAAATAGTATTTAATCATAATTTAATCAGTTAATCAAGTTATGAAAATACTTTAATCAAATTATTAATGATTAAGATTATGAATCGATTGTTGACAGCTCTGGGTGCAGTGTACGGAAACCAGTCTTTGTTTTGCTTCAACTGTATTTTTTCCTTTCCAAAATAATATTTTTCGACATGGGAAATTTAAGTTTATCGTTTTTTGTTCCCCAAATAACTAGAATTGCTTCACTCAAAATTCTATAATTCGCAAACTAATGATTTCACAGCTCTGAAACTTATACACGCACCCTTGAAGATTAAACCTAATTAAAAATCAGGTTGGTTTGATTCCAGCAGCGCCGTTTATATGTCAGTCGGGGACTTCTCAATTAAATTTTTAATGAGCTTGTTTAATTTAAAGTGATCATAACTTGCTGAGCCTCTTATCGAAATAAAAGAAAAATTAATGTAGGTAACCTTTAGTATGGGCTTTCGAATTTTTATTACTATAGTTCGTTATAAATTCCTATTCCTATTCATATTCCTACGAGTACTATATACTACCAATATTATATGCCAGTACTTTTTGAACCCCACTTTTTTAGTTCCATAGCGACTATAATTCATTTCAAAGCACCTTTTGATGAAACTCGAGCCAAAATTGGATACATCTGTTTATTCCTCCTCTCAACTGGTTTTCCTTTTGGAATAAGTTTATGAGATTTTGCCGGGACGATCATATGTTTAAGTAGCATCTGATATTTCTGACATTATTTGGTATTAAAATGATTCACCCACTGGGAAGTTACGTAATTCTATGTAAGTTCACGTAAGATAAATAGCAACCAATTCAACTAAAATGTGCAATGCATAAAAAACTGACATTCAGTAAATAAAAGTAAATTTTTCGGTGATTTTAACAGCCTAAAAGTGCTCAAAAACGTTTGAAGAAAAACCTGTTCAAAGCTACTTCCTGATCTGGGTGCAAGATTCGATGTCTCATAACTCTAAATATTCTTATCACTTCGCACAAATGCCAAAGTTAAACATTTTTACATCGCCAAATCAATTTCGAGTTAGTAAAACTTCAACCAATTTCATCTGGTGGACTAAAGAAAAACAGGTGCTTGTTGTCATCCCACTTCTGTATACAAAACATAAGGATAACGTGAATTTAATTTTCAACTTGGCCACAGCATCTTGCGACATTATAATGAAGCATATATAACAAGCTTAGTGAATAAAAAAGTTTTAGTTCACCTTTCAATTTGTGTCCAAACTAAAGCAATTTCTACTAAATCTATAAATCCCCCTGGCAGGTGAGATACCCTTATTTGCATAACAAACATTGACACTTTAGGTAACCTCAGTTGATGTACACTTTGCAATCAACCTTAATTTATGTAACATAACAAAAGGTTATTTAAAGTATAAAATATTAAATATTTCGGCATTAAATTAATATTAATGTTACGCATACGCCACGGCAACCCCAAGCGCGCGTGCACACAGACCGCCCATGAAACAACGTGCCGTAAGCTAGAAGCCAAATGACGCCAATACACACAAACACAGACACAGATACTAAGTATTGAATTGAAAGGAAATCTTGTGGCCTTTTGTATTCATACGTTTGTGTGTGTGTGTGTGTGTGCGTATGAAAGGACAGCAACGAAGCGGCAAAATCAGCATTAGCAGCGATCCTGGGAAGTAGCTGTGATTTGATGTGTGCCCTGTCACACGCCCAGCGGCTAAATGAAAGGCAAAACAACAACAATAACAACAACAAACAACAACAACAGTAGATAGTTGAGGCAGGCAAACTATGCTGCTGCAGCAACGACAAGCGCCACGGCGTTGTTATAACACATACATACGGGCGTTTATATGCAATGGTGGCAGCGGGCCACAAAGATGATTTTACAAATAAAAGGAAATTTTTGGGAAATGACAGTGGTCTCTTTATACTAAGAGCTTTCACAGTTTCAACGCTCGTCTGCTTGGCCAGCACACAGCAACTACCGGCAGTCGGTATTATAAATCAAACGCAAAAGACTATTCTGATTTGTATGCGGCATGTGCCGGCTATGCGGTTGCCTGAGTGTCTGGGTGGGTGTATGTGTAGTGAATGCCTGTTCTGTCCTGCGGCGAAACGAGTGAGATTTCAAATGTGCGTACTAGATGGCTGTGTGTTTGTGCATATGCAAGTATGCGTATATGTGTGGGTGTGTGTGTGTGCGCTCGCCTGCCATGTCATTGTCATGTTGGACAAAAGGATGTGCTGCTACTTAGATATATCAATGTAGACTGCCGTTTCCTGCACTGATTTCCAACACATGCAAGGAAGCAGAAGTTATATATGCATTAGGGTGGTACGAAAATGTTAGACACAAATTTTCAAGAAAAGTTTTGCTTAATATCAATAGAAAACAAGATAAATGTTAAGTTCG